TGATTGATCTAGGACTCCCACCGAAATTTAGGGGGATAAACACACAATATGGTGAACTAATAAAAAAAAAACTCTTTTATTAATTCAATCGAAGCGATTTCAGTTATAGAAAGACTGAATTAATAGACTTGATTACAACAACAACTACTTTCTAAAAACTAACTTAACACTACATATTTATTGGTTGTAATTAATCAAATCTACATTTTAAGTTTACACAATATTTTTCTTATTAGTGACCTAATTAAATAGGAAACAAATTGGAAGAGTTTTAATATACCATGAATGGATATGTTAGACATGTGATATAAAACATAAAAATTAAGTTGTCTTTGAATAGAGTTAGGTTACAGTATTTTATCCCTATAAATAAGGGTGTATATTATATAATCAGCTGTCAGATGACTAGTTTTCAATGAATAATACATCAATGTAGGTTTTTAGTCCTTGGATGTAGGCAGAGAGTACCAATGTGAGTTTGATGTATTGAATCACATTATATTTTTGTGTCATATTTTTATTGTTTTCCTATTTTTAAATTTCTATTTTCCAACAAGTATTATTTGTGTTAATTATCTGCTGTGCAAAATCAACAAAAATCTTTAAATTAAATGGAAGTAATTGATAGGCTCTAAGTGTTAGTATTCTCTCTGGAGACTGGAGTTGTTAGTATTCTCTCTAAAGGATGAGCTTGAAACATCTTCAACTCTTCGTTGCTGGACACATTTGACCCAATGTTATATCTAGCTAAGGCTGTCAGCGGTCTAAATAAGATACTGGACTCTCAATTGAGATAAGTTAAGACTATCCAACAAGGATAACCTACAAGAGCAGCAACAACAATTCAACCCTAAAGACAAAAGTCTATGGCGAAAGATCATTCGAAAGCGAGTCTTCGCACTTACTGTTTGAGTCAAGCCAGAACAAAAATACCAACTCCATAGTCCAGGTTAAGCCAAATTATGTGCACTACTTAACCAAGATAAGCCGAATATCAAAACTTGAATGGCCCGATTTGATTAACACTACTTCGGAAACTCAAGGTTGAATTCCTGTTAAGGCTCTCGAAATGACCCAAGGCTGATGGATTGGCCTAAGATTCTGCCATGGTTCGGGCTGACACCTCACATGGAGGCCCTATGCGTTATTTGTGGCCCCCCTGGGCCCAATGACTACCCTGCTCACCTGTCTAAATTCAAAAAATTTATTTGTATTAATTTAATTTTAATATAATAATTTTCCCCATTTTTGGCCAATCTAAAAATCTTTTAGGACTAGTTTAATGGGAAAACAGTGGACTGCCATTTCTTTGGAGCCCAATGACCAGTCAACCGGCCGACAGTCCAGCCAATGCAGGGGCATCAGCCCTTGAGCTATGAGTCTAGTTGGTATAAGCACATTTAACAAGGCAATGTGCAATCTTCTTAAAGAATTCTACTTTGTACCTGGAAATATTTTAAATTTTTTATTTTATATCTTTAAAAATNGTCTAGTTGGTATAAGCACATTTAACAAGGCAATGTGCAATCTTCTTAAAGAATTCTACTTTGTACCTGGAAATATTTTAAATTTTTTATTTTATATCTTTAAAAATAAAATTTTTTACACTGTACTCTTAATGTATCAAATGTGTTGCATTATAGTCTTTCGATTAGCTTTCCATTAGTTTTTCCGTNCAAATGTGTTGCATTATAGTCTTTCGATTAGCTTTCCATTAGTTTTTCCATCAACGTCAATGAATTGATTTTTTACGAAAAAAATAACGAAAGATAACAGAATGGTTATATTATAATACTTTTGATATAGTGAATGTGTAATGTAAAAATTTTAATCTTTGAGAGTACCAAGTGAAAAACTTATAATCTTTCAGAATGCAAAGTACGAAAGACCCATTTTCTTTTAATAGTGATTTATTAGCCCGAAGATCTCCTCCACGTGGGGGCCCCAGATTTTTTTTTCCCACTAACATTGATTTATAATTTGTGGAGTTGAACAAGATTTTAAGTCGGGAAAATAACTAATAATTCTTACTTTGCGTAACAAAATCGAATTGATATTCTCNTTGATTTATAATTTGTGGAGTTGAACAAGATTTTAAGTCGGGAAAATAACTAATAATTCTTACTTTGCGTAACAAAATCGAATTGATATTCTCAATATTTCTTTTGATAAAAAAAACAAGTAAGACCTTTTTTAATGTTTTGTTAAAAAAAGTAAAAGATTTAATTGTCCTAAGAGATAGTTAATATTGTTTGTTGTCATGACTTAATAGTTGTGTTTCCTTTTCAGTTTCATCTTGAACTTGATGTTAAATTGTTCCTGACATAGCACCGGACGGGAGTCTGGGGCCGGTCTAATGAAAATTGGAATGCTAAGTGAAAATTTTTATTCGAGCCCTTTCACAACTTAAGCTACATAAATATGAAATAAATTTGATCTTATTTGGACATAAATTTGGTAGAAAATAATATATCTTTTCTTGTCATCTAACTGTCTTGATAATTAAAAGTTTTACTCAAATCTCTGAATTGAATATATTTATTGATGATGCTTGAATTTACTATACCCACTTGCAGAACAATGATTGTATGAGGTCTAGTTGGGGTTGCGTTGATATTGGAATAATAAAAAATAAGTAGCGATGTTAGATCAAAGAACAAAATATAAGTAATTCACCTTAGTCGAAAGACTAAGATTACATCCACTGAAATAGAGNTTGGAATAATAAAAAATAAGTAGCGATGTTAGATCAAAGAACAAAATATAAGTAATTCACCTTAGTCGAAAGACTAAGATTACATCCACTGAAATAGAGACTTTTATTCCTAGGGATTTGTATTTGTTCGTGAGGGTCATCAAGTTTTGTCTCCCTGTCCCCCGGACACGTTGCGTGATGGGAATGGCTTGGGAACTATCCTGTACCGAGCTCTTAGTTTTCGGGCTAGTCTATTCCGTCGAGCTTAATATGATCAAGCAGACATATACTAATTTAGACGTTATTGGACTCCCTTCTTTAGGCTGTGGCCCACTCTTATGACGTGGTGGGCATACTACGAATGAGCCGTTTAGACTGTCACTTGCCCAGGGGATCCATCAGATGTTTTGGTTTCCAATGGGCAACCCAAGCTACAATCCATCATTATCACTTATCACGTGTGTTTGATAAAAAAACACTTATCATATGTGGATGGAGATCATGCACTTTCAAAGTGGTAATGGCAGAAAAGTTAATAATAGTATTGGCANGCGATGTTAGATCAAAGAACAAAATATAAGTAATTCACCTTAGTCGAAAGACTAATATTACATCCACTGAAATAGAGGCTTTTACTCCTAGAGATTTGTATTTGTTCGTGAGGGTCATCAAGTTTTGTCTCCCTGTCCCCTGGACACGTTGCCTGATGGGAATGGCTTGGGAACTATCCTGTACCGAGCTCCTAATTCCCGAGTTAGTCTATTCCGTCGAGTTTAATATGACCAAGCAGGCATATACCAATTTAGACGTCACTAGACTCCCTTCTTTAGGTTGTGGCCCACTCTTACGACGTGGTGGGCATACTACGAATGGGCCGTTTAGACTGCCATGTGACTAGGGGATCCATTAGATGTTTTGGTTTCCAATGGGCAACCCAAGCTACAATCCATCATTTTCACTTATCATGTGTGTTTGATCAAAAAAAACATATCATATGTGGACGNACAATCCATCATTTTCACTTATCATGTGTGTTTGATCAAAAAAAACATATCATATGTGGACGGAGATCATGCACTTTCAAAGTGGTAATGGCAGAAAAGTTAATAATAGTATTGGCAAATTTAAAACCTTTGGGCCTACATGAAAGTGTGGGTGCATGCTTAATGCTCATGATCATGGTTGGCATAGCCGATGAAGAGAGAAAACAGAGACATGGAGGCAGAACCCTGATCTTCGAAGCAAATTATATGATTACTTTAATTTGTACAAAGTTTTTAAAATTAATTACTAATTAAATATTTTTTTTTAAAATAAGGGTAAAATAGGAAGTTAGATTATCCAACACAACTTTATTGTTTTTTCATGTGTCTTTTGCAAGAAAAAAAGTTAGTTAAATGTGAAAAAATCTAAGTATGAAAGAAAATTATTTTTCTATCATTTTTTATTTCATGCTAAACAAACACATGTAAAATTTTAAAATTTTTTCTTTCTTGTATTTTCGAGCATTATCTTGCTAAAAATTGTCTAATTAACTTAACTCTGCTTCCTTTAATTGTGAGATATGCTCTCTAATATGGTTAATTATTTAAAGAATAATTTCAATCACATGTTTTTTTACTCATAGGTGATAGGTGCAACGTAAAAATAAATCTGAGTTTTGTATGTTTGGAGAATCAAACTCAAGAAGTGCAATTTACATCTCCTTCGCCATTTGATCATTGAACCAGCCGGTTTGATACATAAGAAATCAATTTAGTGTGTTTCACATGCATGTTATTATGAGTAAAATAATTTAGTAGTACCGTTTTTTACTCTAATTTCTAATCTTGTACATGTCTTTTATTGTGACTAATGTTACCGGGGGTTAATATGATAATTTAGTGCATTGCGGTCGTTGAATTAGCGGCGATTTTCACACTGAATAAAGATCACTATCACTTCAATAATTATAATGCATTAAACCTCGTAATTAAATTCCAAATTTAGTATAAGTAGTAATGTAATATTATTGTTTCAGTAATTATAGCCAGGGGAGAAGGTGAACGTGGACTGCGTCATTCCAATGGACTTCTAGAAACCAATTTTTTTTTTGTGTTTCTCCATGCCCTCCATTTCCTTTTCTTCTAGAAGCCTTACCATTTATGACCCACCTTCCACCCTTTCTAGTAGGTCTTCGTTTATTGGTGTCCTGCCCTATCCTTTCTTCCCCATTTTTCAAANCCTTTCTCTCTCTCTCTCTCTCTCTCTCTCTCTCTTGTATGTGCTTGTATATATATTATTCTCAACTTCCTATCATTTCCCAACAGCTCTTGTCATTCATAGTTTATTCAATCTCTCTCTTCAAAACCCACTAACCTTGATCTCCTCACTTCTCTAAAAAAATGGAAGACAAAGAAAACAACATGTTCGAGTACTTCGATGGAGAAGATCATGCAGAAGACACACTCTCTCTCCGCAACCTACCAATACATGACCACAATCTCGACGGTGATTCTGTCCGAGAGAGCCCACGAACTTCCTCAGCCTTCGAATTCTTCACTGGTTTAACATCTGGAACTTACAACAGTCCTACCACAAATCTCATTTTTTGTGGAAAAGTCATTTCTGATAAAGACGATGAAGAACTCAATGAGTATCAGAAGCGAGACTATTTGACTTTGAAGAGATCGGCTTCGTTCATTAAGCCTCAGAGTTATCAGTTCATCGGCGATGAAAAGACAGTACGTTTTCCGACCAAGAACCGATCAAACTCCGTACGAATCTCGAGTTCCGATCGCTACTCTTCCAATTGTTCGACTTTACAGAAAGTGAATATTACGTCTCTGACGTCGATGTCGGAGAAGTCGAAGCGTTGGATGTTCATGTTTGGTCCGGTGAAGTTTAAGCCGGAGATGGAGCTCAGGGCTATTAAAGAGAGGCAGGGCCGCCGTGTCCCGCCGCCGATGTTTCCTGCTATTGCTGGCGGAGCCAAAGGGAAGAGTCAATGGGGAATCGTAAGATCTTTGAAGGGCAGGTCCCACCTGGCAAACGTGTTGGCTAGGGCGTTTGGTTGCATTCCAGTCAATGTGGTATAGAAAGAGAGATGGGGTGCGATGGAAAATATGATTATTGTATTGTTTTTGTTATGTAATTAGGCAGCTCATACATTTATTTTTTATTTTGATTTTTTTTTTAGATTTTTTTTAGGGTTAATTACGAGTTGCACCCCAAAAGATCGTTTAAATCNTTTGTTATGTAATTAGGCAGCTCATACATTTATTTTTTATTTTGATTTTTTTTTTAGATTTTTTTTAGGGTTAATTACGAGTTGCACCCCAAAAGATCGTTTAAATCTCAATTTGTATCTCAAAGATCAAAAATATCAATTTACATCCTCAAAGATAAAAATTTGATCAATGTGCACCTCTAAAAATCAAAAATCTCAATTTACACCCTCAAAGATAAAAATTTGTATCAATATACACTTAAAATTTANTTTACACCCTCAAAGATAAAAATTTGTATCAATATACACTTAAAATTTAACTGATAAATTATACTTAAATCCCCTCATGCTTCTCATTTAATCATTTGGACCCCTTCACATTTAAAATATTACTCTTATATCTCAAAACGTTTGTGCACGTGTAACACGTAACCCCTTTTCGTTAATATAATCGTTAAAAAATATGATTTTATCCTAATAAAAAATTATAATTTCATATTAGCCTTTATTTTGTGGGTTCAATATACTCTAAAGTTCAAAATCAAGTTTACCATTTAAATGTCCAGAATATAGATATTTTATATAATATTTTTTATCTCTAATGCAATATATCACTCAATGTGCAACTCTTTATTCTATTAAACATTTAAATGGTAAGATTGATATTGAACTTTAGAATATAGGGTTACATGTTACACGTGCACAAACATCATGAGACGTAGGAGTAATATTCTAAATATGAAGGGGTCTAAATTATTAAATGACAAGTATGAGGGGATCTAGGTATAATTTATCAATTTAATTTTAGGTAGGAAACTAACGACGGTTAGTTTTAGGCGTACATTTATACAAATTTCTATCTTTGAGGGTATAAATTGAGATTTTTGATCTTTGGGGGTGCACATTGATACAAATTTCTATCTTTGAGGGTATAAATTGAGATTTTTAATCTTTAAGGGTATAAATTGATATTCGAACGATTTTTTGGGATGTAATTTACAATTAATCCTTTTTTTTTATATTCATTATTATCTTTTTCATTGTTATAAGTTGATGTTTATTAAAAATTGGTTTATTCCGAAAGCTCAACTTTTAACCCCAATGATAGATCAGTGAAAACAGTGATAAGCTGTAAACGTAATTGTCTTCGAGTTTGAAACTTAACGACTTCAGGTCCAAAAAAAAAAACTTGGCAACGATATTGGGGTTAACTCATAAAAAATTTATTGTCTATAAATTTCCTAGTTTTGATGTGAATGACTTAATTTTAACCGAGTTAGAGAGCAGATTATACGCATAAACTGACTTGGACACCATTAACCGCAATACAAAAAAAAAACCTCAACTTTTGTTGCTAATGCAACAGTTGTTTATAATGTGATGTTTATGACTAATTCTTTTTGTTCCGAAAGGTCAACAATTCTTGGGTAAATTAAATTAATAAATTAGTTATAAATAACATTATTTATTATTTATTACAGTAATTGTCTTAAGGTAGCATGCATTCATTTCTTTTGTCCTTTGATTGTTCAAGCCCCCTAATGTTTTTCATCCACAATGAATGAGGGTAGAGTTCAGGCTAAACGATTTGAATGATTATCTTGGACTCAACCTAAACTATACAACCCTAGGTCATATAACTTTGGTTGAAAATCGAGTTCAATTTCAATCTCAATTTGAATTTGATTTTTGAGTTACAAAACTAGATGCAGAATTTGAGTTGGCACCAGATTCACTATTTTATTTTAAGTCCCCAACAATCTAAGACCACAATTCAAGAATTATTCCAAATTGAGCCGAATTAAAATATTTTTTTACTCAATCTCACTTAAATATTAAAAATATTAGTTTAAAGTACTAAATATTTTAGGATTAATTTGAATTCAGTCTTTACTAACATGCCCAAATGACCCTTCTACATTAAATACACAAGGGGGTTCTTGCTTTCTTTTTCTTTTCATGTCTTTTTTTTTTTTCCATGTCTTTTCAAAACGTCAAATAGAAATCGAACAAATCTCTCCTCGATGGAAATAGTCTAACCACGAAAGGCAACCAAGGCTTCGACTCGGTTGAACCAAAATTGTATAGTTTAGGTTAAGGCGTGGGATGTAGACCCAACAATTCTAGGCACATGTAAAATCGATACAAAATTTACATGAAAATAAAAAGTTTAGATTTAATCTTAGCAAATTTAAGTCGTAAATGGTTAAACTCGTTANCATGAAAATAAAAAGTTTAGATTTAATCTTAGCAAATTTAAGTCGCAAATGGTTAAACTCGTCAAATAAATAAATCGATACGAACTCAACTTATACACAACATAAATTTGAAGATAAATATATGATGGTTCTCGAAATCACTTTACCCAATTACAGAACAATGCAGGGTTTAGGCCTAATGGGGGCTTGGTGTGGGCATTAGATAGAATGGAGGTAAGGAATTGAAATTGAAGCAAAGAACAAAATATGAGTGATTCACCCCAACCGAAAAACTAAAGTTATATCTACTATAATTGAGACTCTTATTCCTTAATCGCTGTATTACTTGAAGAAGAAGGTAGCAACTATTGGAAGTTTGTCTGAGAGCCTTTACAAAGTATTTCTTAGGTTGCCTATAACATATCCTATTCACAGTAACATCACCTTCTATTTACAAATCTTCTTATTAGGCTTTCTACAACTCTTCTTTTTCTAACTAATTTGGTGGTCCTCTCTTCATTTGTCTTGTAGTTGAACCTGCCAACCTGACATTTTCTATGCTCACTACTCCTGGAATGAAATGTATGGGGTATTTCCACTATGCTGAATATTCGTTCGTTTAGAGTTGTCAGATATTATCCCCTTGTCCACGTGGTGTGATTGGGGTTATATCGAATCAAATTAGTGTCGAGATCTACCTCCCGAGCGGAAGATGATCGCCGAGCTCATTGGGGGCTGACCAAGGCAATGGTCCGGGCCAATCATTCCCAGGCTTTTCATGGAGCGGGGCTGTGGTCCAACCCAAACATAAGAGATGTCATCCAGAAGGGCAACTTAGTTTGTCTATGATGAGCCCATTAGCGGCTTTGGGCTCGAAGTAGGGCCTAAACTTAAATCCATCATCATCAACATCAAACGTGAATTATTGTGTGCTCTTACTCCATTGTAGAATGAGGTGTTCAAAAAAAAGAATCGCCACCTAGTCATCAAAGTGTTAGTTGGTCGTTGTTAGTATTACATGATACGAACCCGACTATACACAATTATATATAGGTTGAGTATGTGTTAAGTAAATTTTAACACGATATAATTTAGACATGACACCAGACGATCCATGTGTTGATGACGGAGATATATACACTTATATATTACGTTTAATCTGTCAAATATATGTGATGAACAATTCGACACTTATATTAGGTGTCAAATATATCTCATGAACTATAAGACAAAACAGTAATTTCCCTTAATTCTTCTTAAGACCAATGAATTTTAACATTATAATTGTAACACAAAGTCCAAATGTAAACAATAAAAAAACTTGGCACGAGGCGTACGTTATGCACCAGACATTAACATCACAACAAGGTATTTTTCCATTGCAGCTGTGCAGCACGAATGTGGGAGTGAAGACAGAGACTTGATTGCAGGACCATTTGTCCGTTTATTAAATATCTATTAAGACAAATTACACTTTGACTCCCTCAACTATAGCCTTTTTTCATATTATCTCTTCAATTATCATGTTTTTCACATTGCACTGTTAACTATGTCATTAATTTCACATTATTCCTATGAAACACAAATACGGATATGGGCAAGGCCGGCCCAATAAAAATGAGGGCCCTATGCGAAAATTTAGGCGTTGCCTTATGAAAACTTAATATTAGTATACTAGTAATATAATTAGAGTTTTATTTAATTTTTTTTAGATATAAAATTATTAATTCAACTTTTTTACTTGAGTATTGCTAATGGGTAAGAGTATATTATCAAAAATGGTATCTATAGAAAATTAAAACTTTTATGCATTAGATTACAGCTTTTACTAGGTCAAATTGCAATCAAAAAGTTAAGATCAACACTAGAAAATACTCTTTCCGGGGTCAAATTACAATCTTTTGGGAGGTTAGTTACAACCTTTAGAAGTGTTGAGAATGATGTTAAATTGTTAGAATTGATCCTAAGTATCACAGAGAAGTAATAACGTGACCCCAAAATGATACAAATTCAAAAAGTTAATCTTTGAAGTGTACAAAAAATTAGGGATATATGGAGGGAAAGACTACCAAGAAGATGTGATTGAATTTTTTTTTTTTTTTTTTTTGACTTGAAGATGCTTTTGAAAGTTAGTATCAAATATGCAAATCTATGATTCGTGATGAAAAGATTAATTGAATTATTTAAGGTTTGTAATAAGCTAATATATGGGATGAATTGCTTAATATGTGAAATAAAAAATATATAAAATAGTATCTAAAAGATGAGTTTCCTTAGATATTTTAAAAGATGAGACTTTCTACTCTATAACTAAATAAAATAATAAGGCTCAAACAATACAGAAATAAAAGAAAATGTTGTTACATTTTATAACTACTTATTTTTTAAAAATGGCCCTCCAGCCCAAATGAGCCCTAAGCAACCGCCTAAAGTGGGAAGCCATGTGGGCCGGGCCTCGATGTGGGATACGATCATGATACTCTATGGATAAGGAGATAAAAGTAAATTTAAAAAATAGAATATGAATATGGTCAAGATATATTTATAATAAAATATATTTCATATTTTTACTATTATCTACTGACTTACTAATTATATATTTTGGTAATTCTTTAACATAATAAGGAACATTAGCATTTTTTTTCTAATTTTTTTAAAGTATGTATTATATTATTCTGGTATATTCACATAATAAAGTAATTAATTAAAGGAATCAAAATTTTAGTTGGTTTATTTAGAAGTATTTGTAGTTAAGATTATAATATAATAGATTTATTTTATACTCTTTTGATATTTAATTGTAAATAATATTTAAAAAATGCTCATATGTTGTCAAAGCAGTGTGCATTTTTGTTAATCTATAATATAAAATATTACGGACTTTAATAAGTTCATCCAACAGTCTTAAATAGACTCATGTAACGGCAATCAACATCTCTCTCAAAACCAATCACATTGAATTTTTCTCCCCCGAAAAATTTATCACTTCTCACTTACTGTGTCTTTAGGCACATGTTACCACTAGTATATTATATGGTATGTGAATTTGAAAGGAGATATTAAAGAATAAATTCAAAATTATACACATTTCTATGACACAAAAGTATCCTCGAAGTATTCAAATATTTTATAATTATCGAATATGTAAGAAGAGTATTCGATAAATATTCAATGAATATCGTATCTGATACAAGTACATCGACCTCAACAATGTATCCGTGTTTCATAGAATTATCCCAATTATTAATGTCCAACGCAAATTTGACAAAAAAAATATTTCATTTTGTCTCTCAAGCTATGTGATTTTTTTTTTTTTCATTTTGCCCCAACACATTACCAAATTCCGTCTAAAAAGATAGTAGATGTTTGCGTCCAGGCAATTTAAAATACCTTAAATAATTGAGGAGACAATGTAAAAAAATTAATAGTTCAATAGGTAAACTAAAATTAAGTCCATAGTTAAGTGGTCAAAATGTAATTTTTCCTATCTTTAAAT